CGTTGTGGAATTTTCGCCATGGTTTTTTTCTTCAGAGAAAGTTTCAAAATATAGGTGCGTGTTTTTCAAGCACTACGGGAATGCTACAGTACACGACGGTGACCAAACAGTTTTCTTTTTGTGGTTCCTTCAACACTCTTTTCTCAAGTTATTGAGAATTTTGAAAGCAAGAGTTCGAACATAGGCGCGACAGTGAGGAAATGCTACAGTACACGACCGTGACCAACCGAATTTTATTCCCTTGGGCCCACTTTTTTCCTTCCCCAACTGAAACAGGCACAACTTCAAAATATGAGCATGTTCTGTTCAAACGCTAAGAGAATGCTACAGTACACGACTGTGACGAAAACCTTATGTTCGTTCGATCCAGTTTTTTTTGCCCTTTCCTTCTAAACTATCTCTCAAGTCATGAGAACCTCAGAAATTTGTTATGCAACTCTCAGAGTCGATACTTTCTCAAAGAAAAAAGAAAAAACTCTCGTAGTCGATGATGGTGAAGAAGACGAAGAAGACTCCATTTTACTCCGAGGGGTTTAAATAATGAAACGGTGAGTTTCATTGTTTGCATTTCTTGATCCTCCAACAATAGTTTTGTTCTACTTGAGTTGTCTCTTACCAGTCTTCTCATGTCTTTGCTATGTGCAGCTTGTACAGAAAAGCTTTGCTCGTCTCTTGTACGACGACTTCTTGAGAAACGCTAGGTTTAACCTTGCTTATTTAATTGTGTCTAGTTCTTTACTTGTTTTATTATGAGTAACATTAGAAACCTAATATTCGGTTCAGCTTTGGTTTCCAGCATGAATTTATCTTTAATTAATTCAAACAAATCGGTTTCTTTGGTTCAATGAACTAGATTCAGTTAATTACTTGTTGGATTTGGATCGGATCGGTTAAACCGGATTAGTTACACCTCTTGGGGCTTGTTTATTGCAGTATGCACCTGAGAAGTTTGTGGAAACAATGAGACTAATGGAACATATAGGTACGGAGCGAAAGACTTTGTGACGAGCAAGGAGGGTACTTTAGACCTTTTGACTCCGTGTATGTACACGTGTTGACTTAGTGTTCATCGTTATCTTTAATTTGAATAA